GGGGGGGGGGTCGTGCAAGTGTATGACTTGTGTAAGTGTTTGTGTGTATAATATGTGTGTGTTTATGTGAATAAACGTGTTTATGTGTATGTGTGAATGTACGTGTGTTCACATGACATGTGTGCTCATATAACAAGGGGCATACCAAAAGTTGTTTTTACCTGACCTTGAAGGATTAAAGGTAGAAAACTGAAATTTGGTACTAACCTTAATTTTTCTCTTTGTAGTCACCTTCCATAGTTTTTAGTCATCGGTGTATGACATTGAAAAGACCTTGAAAATAAAAGACCCTCTCTTTGTTGGAAAACCACCCCTCTACCATTTCTTTGACCTCATCGTCACTTTCAAAATGCCTTCCTTTTAAATCCTTTCTTCAGTTTGGGGAATTAAAAAAAGTCGGAGGGGCTAAATCTGGAGAATAGGGTGGATGTGGCAAAATTTCAAAGCCACTTTCTCACGCAGTTTCTGCAGCTTTTCTTGGAGTGTATGCTGGCGCGTTGTCGTGAAGCAGCATAATGCCTTTTCGGATCCTTCCTCTGATTTTTTCTTCTATAGACGTCTAGCCTCTCGTAATTTTTTTAGCTGGTTAGAATAATGATCTCCGGTGACCGTATGTCCATTTTCAAGATAGTCTGTCATAATCACTCCTCCGTGGTCCCCAAAAAACTAATAGCATCACTTTTCCACTTGATTGTTGCACCTTTGCCTTCTTTGGTGTTGGAGATGAGGGCGATTTCCACTTCATTGATGCAGATTTTGACTCAGGATCGTAGTCGTGGGTCCATGTCTCATACATGCTTACAAGCTTTTCAAAAGTTTAATTTCATCCTTTTCATACAGCCCAAGCAATTATTTAAAACAATCCACACGTTGCACTTTTGAGGACGAATCAACAAACGTGGGACTCATCTCGCACAAACCTTGGTCATATACTCAAATGTTCCTTTAAGATTCGTTCAACTGATCCAGTGCAGTGCTAAGCCTAGTTTCTTTGCTCAAACGTTCGACTGTCACTTATCTATCAGACAACTCAAGTTTTTTTTTATTGTCAATACTTACGCTTCTGTTGTTATTATCACTGGCGACTATCACGGTGGTCATCTTCAGTGTCCATGAATCCGCATTTGAATTTTTTTTACGCCAAAATTGTATTTGGCACAGCATGGACGAGCAATCAGTTCCAAATACGGCTTGCATCTACGTAAAAATATCCTGTAGTTGCTTGCCTTGCTAGATTTCACTATTGTCCTGTGCTCAATTTTCTCCACTTTTAGGTTAAAAACTGGAGAATAACATACCCGCATTCACTAACAGTGCGCTTGTGTTAAAACCAGTAATTGGAAATTCCCCAAAATGTACATGCATTCTAGGAAGATAATTGTTGGCTTTCCCCCCATATTTCAGCACTCTACCTTTATTCCTTCGTGGTCAGGTAAAAACCTTTTGGTGTGCCCCTCGTATTATGTGTGTGTAGCAGTGTGTGTCCATAAGATGTGTGTATGTGTGTGTATATGTGTGTCTGTGTGTATGTGTATGTCTGCGTGTATGTCTGTGTGTATGTCTGTGTGTATGTGTGTGTGTGTGTGTGTGTGTGTGTGT